CATCAACAGTCGTCTTAATGGGAGCTTTGAGTCAGTGAAATGTTCCAGTGTGTGAAATGTGAGTACTTCTACAGTGAGGATTAGTATGTGTATGTGCCAAAACTGCATTACTGCACAATAGCTGTTAACAACCATCTAAAATATGGTAGTTACAAGTCCTGTGTTTTTCTGTCAGTTTTCCAAAACAATGTATTTTACATGAAATACTATAAAAGTAGCTTAAAATCTCATGAAAGGATGATGAAGGTGAAGGAGTCAGTGAAGATGGAGAAGCAAAAGAGATAAGGAAGAGGATCCACTCATCCTCAGGCATGCATACAGTTGTTCACAAAGTCTCATTTGAACAGTGTTTCTCAGTAAAAATTGACTTATGAATATTTTGTAATGACAAAAATAAGATTGAAAACTCAGTTGTCAGATTGTCTTCTGTGTCCTGGTTATCAGCATAAGAACAAATTCACCAAATTCATTAGGGTTTTTTTTCCCTTCCATTTGGGCCATTTCACATCCAACCAAATCCATGAATTTCTGCGAGGAAAAGTTCAAACGAGCTCGAGCACAAGATCTACAGCGTACATACACTGACTTTATAAAATCTATTCTTTTAGGTTTGGTGGCCAAAGCAAAGACACTTCTGTCAGAATTATTACGTACTCAACTGCCAAAGTTTCTACTTAGAGCCTGATCTTGTTCCTTTTTCATGGCTCCATCAATCTTGCCCCATAGTTTAATTTTCTTTTTTTATTTCCTTCTTCTGTTCCTTTTCCTCCTTTCTCCTCATTACTCCTCCCGTGCACGTAGGTCCCGTGGCGTCCGGTTACGTTCTCCGGGGTTCTTGCTCCGAGCTTTCCTGGCGCTCTCCTGCGCCTGTCGATATTTCTCCAGCATGCTCTTGTGTTTCCTTTTCAGCTTGTCATTGCACCACATCCTCTCGCAGTATTCCTCCACCTGAGGCATCTTTGACGGTCCGATCAGCTGCATGATGTCTTTGAACCATGTGCGAGACTGGCCGATTTGGCTCGGCGAGCCTCCTCTGCTGTAGGTGCTGCACGGCATCCAAGCTCTGTAGGTGTCCGAGGTTCTGTCTTTGAAGGAGTCGGATTGGCCTGCATTTTCACGGGACATGAGCTCGTCCACAGTCTCGCCCTGGAGTACTTCAAGGTTAAATCGGGCCAGGGTCTGTGTGAAGCCGTGCTCTCTGGAACGGCAGATGTATAAACCTTGATCTTGGCGCAACAGACGACGAAACAGAAGTCCCTGCTCCGTGGTCATCACATGATCATCCAGCTTCACCTAAGAGGAGAAGATATATGAATTTATCTAAAAGACCTTTTTCACAACAGTGTCCTGTTTAAAATTGGTCCCCATACTTTATTTACAGACTTATGTCCAACAATGCTGTAGAGCAGGGTCACCAACTATATTTGTCAGAGGGCCAGAATTTGTCTGGAAAGACACGTTGTTGGCCTGACACTCAAATAAAGCGAAATAATAATTACATTATTGTCTAACATAATATTTGATGTTTATTTTGGAATCCAGTTGAGGGCCGGATTGAACGGTTTGGCGGGCTGGATTTGGTCCATGGACCAAGAGTTGATGATTAATATGAAGGAATGTGAATTCTCTTATGTTCTGTGGTTATCTGGAAATCAAGATTATTGATGACAGATCAGATTGTGTTTCAGTCAACATGATGGAAAATTGATATTTTTCAATATCTCTGTAAGTTTCTCCTTTGAAGCCTATTAGTTAAAAATTTGTAAATACTTATGGAATCATTTTAGCAAAAACACACCAAGCAAGAGCTTTTTTTACTCGGCCTGACTTCCAGTAGTAAAAATATCATCTCACTTTTTTTTTTTTTCCAACCTTCTTCCACTTCATGTCACTTAATCCATTCCTCAGCTGCTCAACATTTGTATCCGTGCCAACACTAACATGGTCGCTTGGTCAGCAAGAGTGGCAGCCACGTGTTTATTTACAGGGGAAGAAGTAGTGGTGGTAAACCCTAAAAACTGTGTGGCTGACCTGGCGTCTTTAGTTTAAAAAGAAAAAAAAAACATAACTTCAAACAGATGAAAAATTGCTATGGGGAGGTGCGGGGGCAAAACATAATTTTCTAAGTAGTACTTTAAAAGGTCGTAGCAGCGCTGTGCTGAGGTCACAGAGAGCTGTCAACAGAGAGTGACACTTGAGACTTCAGAGGCATGTGGTCAAAGAATTCACTGTTTGTCCAGGAGTCAGAGAGCAGCCGTGCACTTTGTCTCTGAAATGCAACTGCTCAATTTCAACCATATGTCAGATGGCTGTCAAATGCGTCGGCCAAGTGCCAAATTCACAAACAGATTTGGGAGTTTGAAGGCACTCCGGCCACTGTTTGCCGTACGGTTCAAACCACATGTGGTCTGTATCTGAAAACATTTCCATTTCCTGCTGCCGTCGCGCTGTAGAGTCCGTGTGTTGACTTAAATCTGGAGGGCTACCTTATTCTCGGGCTCACCTCTTCTTTGTGGTCCTGTTGTTGGACAAACCAGGTTACGGTAGCCTGAGGAGAACGGGGAACACACTCCAGGAAGGTGCTGTTGTTCTCCGTCCCGTACACCACCTTCTCTTCAGCCATGTCAAAGTCTTCTGTTGGAAAAGAGACAGGAAATGTTTAAGAGAAATGAAGCTAAACATCAAGTCTATGTTAAATTCACAACAAATAGGTTTAAAACATGGGATTATGATTATTATTTATTTATTTTTATAAACATTTGTCCTGAACCATACAACACATAATCTGTCAGTGTCTGTGTCTTAAGTTGCGCAGAGGGGCGCAGAGGGCCCTTGGCAGTAGCTAATGCTGTTGGAGGGCCTTGGAATAGAGCAGTTTGGGAACCCCTGGACTAAGAGTACTACATCTATTAAGGATGTCCTCATGACAATCAAAGAGTGTCCTGAGACCCCAGATCTGGTACCTCTGCATGAAATCCATACAAAGTAAAGATGTAAAAGAAAAAAAGAAATTGTCTTTGACTCATTTCAGTTGAAACTGTTGGTCCAGCGGTCTCTTCAGTACTGCCTGGTAAATCCATCATTATGATATGAAGTATTTCATAATACATTTAATATATATTGTAATACAAGTCTGCCAAGGTACACATATACGTGACTTTTAAAGTTAATGTGGGACGACATTGATTTATGGCGTGTTTTACCCAGAACAAATCTACCTTAAATAAAGTTTCAAAACCATTTAGATGTATATACTGCACATGTATATTTAACGTTAATGTTTATTACATAGTCATTGGCTGTTACTGAAATATTTTCTTCTGTATTTATTTAGAATGTTGCAGATCCTATATTTCTTATTTGGTTATTCTGTCCTGACTGCAGTATATATGAATAACAAAGTATTCAGTTAAAGTTTGAAACATTTGAAAACAAGATCCATGCAGATTTGGCCCGCTTGTGGGGTTGTATGGTATTGAAACCCATTTTCTCTGGATGGCAGAATAATTGCTCGAGGACAATGTTGTAATTCTGTGTGACTTTTTGAGTGATTAAAGATTCAGATAGTGGTGCAAAGTCATCGCAGGCTGATGTGTCTGTACAAACCCACCGCACTGTGCAGCTTTTCACTTCATCATCCTGTCATAAGGAAGTGCTTGACTTTTCCTAATGTATATGTTGGCAATGAAGAAGACAAATCACGAACCATAAATAAGGAACTGTCATCAGTAACCAGCTGTAGGTACAGTACCTGAATGTCCAGACTGTGTTGCATATGTTAGGGAAGAAAACTCAAATAATAAATCCTGCTCTGAAAATACATGAGCACAAAGGATTGTTGTAATTGTGGGTTCACTCGTGGGCTACACTCAGACGTCTCTCACCACCTAATCCACCGAGAGTCAAAGGAGCAAACACTTCTAACAAAGTCACAGCCTCCGTCTCACCTTGTTTCTTTTACTTGTTCTCACACTTGACTTGTCTTTATCTGTGTCACTGCTATTATCACTGTGCGCGCGGAGTAGTGTTACTTGTGTGTTTCCGTCAATGCTTAATTTAAGGTGTTTAGACAGAGGGTAGAGTGGCGTTCAATTTCATAAACTTGCTCAAATCTTTACTAAAGCAAAAGTATTGTATTAAGCTTTAGGTATCCTACTGGTGTATGGACTATTTATGGAAGCAGTACAGTCCCATTGGTCTACAGCAAGATGATTAATAGTGTTTTAAACAACAGTGACTCGATAATTAGTTATTTTAACTTATGGTGTCTCTGTTTGAAGGTGGAAATCTTGCTTACATTGTCTGAATCCAAAAGTATGCCTAAACACCCTAAACATGTCAGGCAGACAAACTCACCCCCCATGTTCATATCCATACACTGCAGCACAGGGTTCCCATGTCTGATGTCCTGTCTGCGGTACCGACGTTTGTTGTTGGAAATGTATCGCGCACATGAAGATCCATCCCAGGCGCAGTATGGGTCTCGGGCCAAGCAGCACTCAGCACAGGCGTTCCCATAGGTTTCACAGCGGTGAAGCTTCATCTGCACCACACCTGTGGGAGAGCCTGCGTACAGAGCTTGCTGTTTGAAAAAGTCAGAGGAGACAGGAAATTATTAGAAATGTCTCAAATTACTCATTACTAAAAAAAAAGTCATAAAGTGATCAACTGACCCTTTTCACAGAAATTTCCATAGATGTAATTGGAGTTGGAACCTGCAAATGTAACACACAAAAAATTAAATTTCAAATAAGAAATGTTTTCAAAATTACACATTCTCTCTCTGTAAATGACAAATATAAAATATTTTTTGCATTTTAATAGTTACACAAAAAGTTGATAGTTAATATGTTGACCAGTCATTCTGTTTCAAACACGTGTTTGTAAAACTTACTTTAAAGACCTGTAGTTCCTCCAGAGTGACTTCTTCCATCTCTAGACTGTTGCCATTGCGCAGAGCGATGACCTTTAGCACCGTACCAACGTCTGAAATACACACAGACACTCTTTAATTTCACACAGGTACAGTAAGCCAGCTTAAATGTTCCCTTCACGGCAGAAAAACAACTCACAATTACACTTGTCAGTAAGTAAATAAAACAAGAATTTACCAGTTCCTATAAACATGACGTCATACTGCCCGTCCTCTGCCTCCACACGATCCACCACTATTTGTTTTAGCTTGTATGGAATGTTTGCCTTCACCAGCACGGGTTGGCGCAGAGCCGGATACACCGGTCGCCACATGAGAGGGTGGCTGCGGGCGAAGTGCAGCACTGAGTCAGGGAAGTCCTTCGTGCTGCCGAACTCTCTGCCAGGCTGGTTGGTGATTTTACTGGGACACTGGTGATGAGGAGAGACAGAAAGAAGAAGGTTGGAAAGGAAAAGATATGCAGGCCTTTACACAGTCAGAAATACATTTATAGATGCATTTCAACATGACAGAATATTCTTTGGTCATTGGTAGGTTGTCAACAGCACGTTGACAATTAAAAATCTGTGAACCTTGCATTCTATGAAAAAAAATCTACTAAGTTTAGTGTAGTGATGGACTACAAGCTCTTACTTGGCTCAAATATTAATAGTATATATTGATAGTAATACTATAGGACCTCCACGTGAACTATGTCTATAGTTTTGTCTTTCCCACTGTCTGCTATTGTTATTGAAGTAGCCTAGAACACACAAGTCCTTTAGTTGAATATGGTGTAACTGTTCTCAGATCAGTTAAAGCCTCAGGACATTTAAGTTCATTTAGTAATTTTTATCTTGTTGAATGTTGACTAGATATTGAATGTGCCAGGACTATAGAGTGACAGGCCGAGCTGAATGGTAATAATAATACAAATACTAAAACAAAGTAGGAATTCATATGCAATTTAATTCATTGGCCTGAGGAAAATATAACTGCATTTCCAGAATTACTTTAATTTAAAAAATTGTGAAAATTAATTAATAGGTCTAGACAAATGTTTTGATGCTGCATGACCAAAATATTTGCGATGTTTAAACTTCAGATGCGTTTAATAAGCTTAATTCATCTGCCTACAGCTCTGCTATGTAACATTTGACCATTAAACAAACCAACTTTGGTACTAACATTCAAAGTTAACTGTCGTCACTGTGAGAACATTTTGTAGGTGGATAACTTTTTAATTGGCGGGTAAATAAGCCTTGGTATAATTTCAGATTTTACTTAACGGTTGCACAGTCTCACCCTCTCACACTCAGTGGTGTCAGTCTGGCTCAGACTGCTCATTAAACTACTTATTATCTCATGCCCAGCAGAGAAAACCCCCAGTGGAACAGCTCCAAATTCTATCATTAAGTCGTCTGAACTTTGCTGCAGTATCTCCACTGCCATCATCAACCAAGAGGGGATTAATGAGAGGGGGTGGGAGGGGTCAGTGGGCTTGGCAGAAAACTGCTAAAATTCCAGCAGTTTTTGGGATGTTGATGTTACACATGTCTGTTTCCATTTATGTTTACGTACGAGCTGCGGTATGCACTGTTTAATCTCCACTGGCCTGCGAGTTAAATATTGATACATTTTCCAAACAGAAGATTAGGTTTAATGTTCGGAAATAACTTTGCACATGTCTACTGCAGTGGGGTTTACAGATTTGATCTTCAGCGAAGCACTCACAAAATCCTTTCCTGTCTGTCAGGTGATTTGGTTAAAACAACAACAGGTTACAGTTGTGTTCTGTTTTTAAAACGGGTGGAGATTTAAATATATATTCAGTGGATGGTGAATGAAAAAGGCAACAAAATGATCAACTACTGACTGTGAATGAACCGATTTAAAATTTACAGTATGATTAGTATTTAATACCAATGTGTAAAAGAACTTTTGAGATTTATCTGAAACTATTTATATTTAATCAAACAAAGAACTAGAATTTTTAAAATTTACAGTATGATTAGTATTTTATACCAATGTGTAAAAGAACTTTCCTAGTATACTGCACTCATAATAACACAGAGGGAAAACCCATTCCAAAGAGACTTGAAAGTGTAACAAAAGTGTAACATTGAGATTTATCTGAAAATATTTATATTTAATCAAACAAAGAACTAGAATTAACTCATTGTTGTGGTTTATATAGTGTTCACATTATAAATTTTAATAAAATATATATTTTTTTAAAAATATATATTTTTTTACTATTTTAAACAAGATTGTTGTATTACGGTCAAACATTAGCAGAAATAAGCAGGGATAAATAAATATCAAGCACGTGATAAATAATTCTGAAAATTATTAGGATAAAGGCTTTGAATTATTTTTCAAATAAAGACAATTTAATCAAGAAATTAGGAGAAAATAAATAAATTTAAAAGAAAACATTTGCAAAATGTCTTTCAGTAACTTCTAGTTTGACAGCAGATCTAAGAGACAAGAATCTGAAATTTCATACTGTACTGTAAGACAGAAAAAAGTAGAATTATATTTCATGCAAATGAAACTAAAACAACAGCGCAACTGTTTTCTCTTCCCTCCTTTCTTCTCATCTCTGCTTCCTCCTGATTGGTTGCTGATGTTAGTCATCCCCTGTTCTTTCTTCTTCTAAGCCACCTCCACACTCCCCCTTCATCCTTCTTTCTTCCTCTCAGTTTGAGGTCATGACGTTGACAGTTCCTCAGAGTCAGCAGAGGAAACCACACAGGTGTCCACTCTCCTCTCACATTAGTCATATCTGCTGTGCCTCCATACAATCTCTTCAACTTCTCTAATAAGAAAGATATGATGGAGTGTGTGTGTGTGTGTAGGCAGGCTTCATACACGTGTGTTTGTATGTGTAACAGGTCTATGTTACAGTGATGTGGTTGTGAGAACTGACAGAGCTCCACTGGGAGTCCAGACGTAAACCAGAACCACGGCTCTGTACTGTATACCTTCACCACAGTTGCTCTACCATGTCCAGTAGTTTACGTTACTGATATGAAGACTTTCTGCACCTCGTTTTTTACTTTTTTTATTGCTTTTCTAAACATAATGGGCCTGAGCACCCAACTTTTATGCAGGGTGTTCACTCAGAACTGCTGCATGTTACAATTACTTAAATTCTTAAAAAAAGATTGTGGCACCCCTTCTAATATAGTGCAAAAGAAGAACTGTTGATAAAACATACTGTTTATTCCACTAAAAATCAGTCATTAAAGTAAATGGGTAAACCATACCCATAGTTGGTTTTAAACCAACAACATAAAAAAGCAGGTTTACATAATTTTAACTGAAATATGTATGAGACACATTTCTCAACATCATTTAGGTGATATAATCACTCACCACTCCAGGTCTTGGATAAGGGACCCGGCCTTCGTAAGCCCCCCACTGGTAGTCAGGACCCTCCTTATGGGCAAATGGTCCATTGAAAGCTTCTCTGATGTCAGCCATACGGTAAACACAGACAGCAAACCCTTGGAACACATTGCTATGGACGAGAAATGTATCCGAGAAAATTGGACAAAAAAAAAATGAAATTTATCCGAGAAAATTGGACAAAAAAAAAAAGAAAACATATTAATTGTTTCAAAGCAATGCTATAACTCCAGCTCTGAGTACATTTATTTTGTATTTAATTAAAATTAACTTGAACAACTCATGCACCATCCATGTTAACTTTCAAAAACTTCACCTTATTGTGCTGAAAATAGCATAAACAT